CGAGGGAGCGAGGGCTCCGACTGGACCTCGGTGCCGACATCACATGCCCTCAGTTCCCCTCAAGAGCGAAGGGCATAATTGGAACAAATGGAAACATGAGCCAGCTTCCTGCCCCCGCCCGGTGAGCGACTTCAAATATGGCTTCATTACCGGCGCTTTTGTAAATAAACTGTGTGGAGAAAAATGCCATTTGTTCTGCTGTAATTGCCTGATGAGCATCATTAGATGGGTCTTTGAAAGACACAGAACGAACTCATTTGGGGTTTTAGAAATTCCTTTGTGCAAATCTCTCTCTATTCACTCTTCTCCACAGAGGGAGCTTTTGAAAGGGGACTTCTTGACCAAGGATCCGTTCAGAGCTTGGAAGGCTGGCCCTGGCCAAGGACACACCTGCTCTGAGTCTTCCATCAGCACACATTTCCCAGGTGCCTCCTCTGTGCCAGACCAGCCTTGCGCTCTCCGGGTATGGCGGTGAATAAAGACACAAAGGCCCTGACCCTACTGAAGTTTCCCTGCTGGGAGAACTCGGACACGCATGCGCCCATTTCTTGGAGTAAACTTGGTAGCAAACTTCATAAACCAAGTCTGTTTAATTCGCAGATTGGGCACTTCTGATTCCCGGGGGTGAGTTTATTGTATCCTTCAGGATGACTCTTCAGCTGAATCAATCAATACCAGAAAGATGTTTACCTCTGTTTCATTGACTCTACAAAGGCAGTCGATGGTGTGGGCCCAACAGTTGGCGGATAACATTGCACAGGATGGGAAGCTGAGAACACTTCGTTGTGCTCATGTGAAACCTGTACACAGACCAAGAGGCAGTCACTCGAACAGAATGCGGGGAGATGGCAAGGTTTTACATAGAAAAGATGCACCTCAGGGCCTGTTCAATCTACATGTGGAGCAAACCATCTGTGAAACGGGTGCTATGACGACGAATGCAGCCGCTGGGCGGGAGGACGAGTCATTAACAACCTGCGATGCACGCACAGAGGATGCAACTTTACTCGTCGGCATCGAAGAGGACCAGAAGCAATTACGGATGAAGATAAAAGATACTGCCTTCAGTATGGATTACTTCTTAAGAGAGCAAAAATCCTCGCAACTGGGCCAGTGAGCCAATCATGGTAGAGAGAAAGGGCTGATGTTACAAAGAAGTCCACGTCCTGGGCTCCATAATCAACACGGATGGGTAGCAGCTGAGAAATCAAGGACACGGTGCATCAGGCTTATCAACTCTTCAAAGTCTTAAAGAGCAACAATGTCACTCTGAGGACACAGTGACCTTAGAAGACAGAGTAGTGCTGCCCCCAAAGGCTCCCAAGGAAGCAGACTGCCACGGCTAAGGAACTCTCCGTGGAAGCCAGGGAATGGTCAGTCGCCTCACACACTCGTGAGAGCCGGACAGTGAGTAAAGAGGGCTGCAGGAGAACAGCTGCATTTGAACCGCGCTGTCGGTGAGGCACAGTGAGCATACCACGGCCGTCCAGAGGAATGAACAAGTGTGCTTTGGAAGACGCACGGCCAGAATGTTCCCTGGAAGCAAGAGCAACGAGACTTTGTCTCACTTACTTTGGACATGTCATCAGGAGAGTCCAGACCCTGAAAAGGACATCATGCTTGGTAAAGTGGAAGGTCAGTGAAAAAAGAGTCAGACCTTCCACAAGATGGTCTGACATAATGGCTGCGACAAAGTTATAGGCTCCACCAAAGCTACAGCCGTCAGCATGGCGCGGGACCAGGCAGTGTTTCACACTGCTGCACATACGGTCGCCGTGAGTCAGGACTGACTCAGGGGCTTCTAACAATAACACAAGGATGTAACATCTGCAAAACTAGACTGGGTGACATTTGTACCATTGCTTACCAAACCTATACCCATCACCAATCAGTCATTGCTCTTTTTCTGATATGCTTGGATGCAGCCTGAGAAAATACATCAACACAGAACAACAACAACAGGCAGCCTCGACAGTTAACCAAGTTGGCTAGAAGAGGAGACCTAATTGCTAATTCTGATTTGGCTTGTTGTTAATGCACTTCACTGGGAGGCTGTGCAATTTTCAAGAAACTTAGCACTACCCCAAGGAAGTGGTGAAAACCGAGAAGGAAAAGGTAAGAGATTGCAGCTACTCTCTTGCAGTAGCCTTCTTTTCCAGAGCTCTCTAGAGGGCTCTGTGACACAGCCAGCCCGAACATAGCTTTGGATTTAGGTGGGCCTGGGTTCAGGCCCTAGTTCTGTTATATTTTCACTTCTGTGGGGCCTTGGTCTGAGCCCACCTTGTCTGCAAAGAAAAAGGAGTGAGGAGTACAACGCCCCCTTCTGGAGTGTTGTGAGGGCCAAGCCCGTGAGGTGGTGTCCACACTGAAACGTCATCATTACACCCAAGCGTGAACGCAGTTGTTTACAGCTGACTTCTGTTTGCACTGGTAGGTGTCGATCACCTTGAGCATCCCTCCTGGCTAGTCTTTTACTGAAGGACCTGGTCCCTGCATGGAAGGCAGCTTCAAAACTCTGGAGGTTAAATTGATACAGACCAGTTTTTGAGCCCAAACAATGTTTTCATCCGCTTTGAGGATGTTTTCCTTGCGAACCAAGAACGTACGTGCCCTAAATCCGAACTGATGGTGCAGCGGTTAAGTGCTCAGCTGACACCCGAAAGGCTGGTGGTGCTGAGATGAGGCATTCCGCTTCTGTCAAGACACTCAGCCTTGGGAGCCACAGGAAGCCGGTCTCCTCTGTCCTGTATGGCCTATGTGAGTCAGGGTTTGTTTATTTTCGGTTTGGTCATTTTGAACTGCTGAACCAGTGGTGCAGATCATCAGTGGAGATGCTGACAGTGATAACCATCTTTAGGGTCTCCATTGAGAAGCACCTTGTCAGCATGATTCATCGAGTGCTCACAATAAACCGATGAATGGGAAGTGGTCACTCGGCCGTTTCAGAGAAGCAGACACGAAGGGCGGTGAAGTGAAGATTCTCTGCTCAGGATCGCACAGCTGGCAGGAAGTGGCAGAGCCAGGATCTGACGGAGGTGCCCTGGTGCTGGTCCCAAAGCCAGCACCACTGTGCTTCACAGCCGTCCTTCCTAGGTAGGTAGTTGATGCCCGGCTCAAGGGGCATCAGGGTTGCGTGTTCACCGGGTTGGCCCAGTAATGGTACTGGTCACCCCTGGGGGCTAGGCACACCAGGACTGGCTCTGGCAGACCACAAGGACCTAGTACCAGCCCCTATCCCTTCAGAGGGACCTAAGCGCTGCTTTCCCCAGTGACAACAAGACAGTCCCACGTTCCAAGAGCAGGAGAGGCCTCACCAGTTTGGCGGGTCAGTAGGCACTGCCAGCTCTCTCTCCAGCACTGTCAGAAGGCGGCTATAGCACGGGCTCGTGGCATCAGTTATGCTAACGCTCTCCTGGTGATTCCAACTCCTAGGACGGTGCAGAACAGCGCTGAATGGCCCTAGGTGTCCCAGGACGCTGACTGCCACATCTTTCTCCCGCGGAGCAGCTGGTGGGTTTCATGGGCTGACCTTTCGATTAGCAGCCCAGCACTTAACTACTGCACCACCAGGGTTCCTTCAAATTGGTTGTAGGGCATAGTTATTACCCGAACCGTTAACCGCATCTTTACCTGAACCGTTAACCGCATCCCAGAATGTGTGTTGGCTCCCGTTTGCAAGGCCTGAGGGGCCCCGTGAGCGCCGAACCCCGACGCTTCCAGACTGCTGGCCGGGCAGCCTGCTAGGACTCAAGATGCAGGAGGCTGCACTGGGATAGGGGGCTACCCGGGGCGCTGGCTCACCTTGAACGAGATTTCGTACTGCTCCCCTCCCCAGATCTCCAAGCCGGGGTCGTACCCGCCCAGCTCCCAGAACCACTTCCGGTCCACAGCGAAGAGTCCGCCAGCCATCACGGGGGACCTGCCGGGAAAAGAAACCACTGTGAAGACTTCCTCGCACAGCCTGATGCGCTGCCCGCCCATCGGCTCCTTGCACACGGCCCAGGGTCCGCCGCCCCTGGGCCTTTGAGTGACGCCCCTGGCCTACAACTCCTCTTCATGAACCGTTGTCCATTTCTGTCCAACTGAACTGATCCAAGGTCCCTTCCACCGGGCCACACTTCCGGATGCTTGTGAAACGACAGCACAGTGCATTCCGCCCTGGGGCTTTGCCACTGCAGCCTCACCCCTCTCCAGTCCTCCCATTAGTTGAATGGCCTGAATCATGCCTTTCCAAGTCTGTCGATGCTGCAGGACCCCTTAGAGAGAGAGAGAAAGCGACAATGCAGGCAGAATCTCTGGGGGATGGAGCCTAGGAATCGGTATTTTGTACGTGCTCCTCTGTGGCTTCCCTGCTCAGGCCCGCACCAACGTGCTCTGCTGTGGGGAGGCCACAGTCCGGTGCTTTCAGGTCAAAGATTCAGCTCAAACTCCACCTGGCCTCTCGTCACTTTATTCAAGAAAGAGGTTGCGAAGTAGGTGCGGAGAGGATACTGAGGCAAATCAGAGTCAGACTGGGCTTTCAGGGAGTGTCAAGAGAGTGAGACAGCTACTGTAGGATGGAAGGATCCAGAAGCCGAGTCCGACTGGGCGCCAGGAGAGTGGGACAGCCACCCAAGCATGGGAGGAGCCCAAAGCTCAGGCCTGGCAGAGCAATGGCCCCTAGCAGCTACTGACCATCTACAGGATTCTGAGGGGAGGGGCTGTCTGCTTCCAACCGTGGGGGCAGAGGAGGAGGCTGGGCCAAGAGTCAAGAAGGGTGCTCAGAGGAGGTAGCACCCGGGTGGGTTTGCACAAGGAGAAAATGGGAGAGGGAAGGCACCAGGAAGATGTATCAGTAAGGGGCGAGAGGCGCTACACTGTGAGAGGCTCGCGGGGCAGGAAGTTAGCATGGCACTGAGCTAGTTCTGCGGGGGACGCCATGCTGCTACCTGCTTGAATCGCCCATGGTGCCTCACACGGGGATAGTGCCTGATCCCTACAATGTCTGCTGCGTCCTCACCTGCCTACCTTGGAAGACTCTTAACACCAGAACCAGAACTTTCCAGAAGCAACCTCCACACCCCCTCCTGGCCTTGAGAACTCAGCAAACTCATGGGAAGCAAGACTTATTTAAGAGATCTTACTTAACCCAAGTATTGGTGGCACTGTGGGTTAGACGCTGGACTGCTAAACCATAATGTTAGCAGTTCAAATCCACCAGCTGCTCCATGGGAGAAAGATGAGGTTCCCTGCTTCCTTAATGATTTACAAAACCTTGGAAACCCTATATAGGGTCACCGTGAGTTAGAACAGATTGATGGTGGTGGGATTTTGGTTATTGGACCCACTGGCATAGAATTCGGACCCTTTGAGAGGGGATCTCTCTGAATATTTACAGAAGGCGTGGACAGTCTCCTATCTGTGTGTGGAGCTAATTTATTCATTAAGCTAATTTACTTTTCACAGTGCCCTCAGACCCCGTTTTACAGATGAACAAACTGAGGTCCAGACTAGCAAGTAACTTGCTCAAGAGTCTTCCCCAGCTACTCAATAGCACTGTAGCAAATACCACAGTTCACATCCCCCTCCACCATACTCTCTCAGTCAGGAATAAGCAGGCGAGAAGCCGTGGGAGAGTGAAAAGGGAGCGGGGATCAGGAATCAGGGAACCCTCATTTTTATGCCAGCTCTCCTGAACATGCCATGTGACCTGAGCTGACATGTGTGACCATCTGCCACCCATGCGATATGGCAGTTACCAGCCACATGTGACCACCAAAGATTTCCCACGAGATGAGATGTGCTGTGAGTGTAACACACAACCTGGCTCTGGAAGATGTCCTATGAAGAAACGGACAGGGATTTTCTCATAATGTTGACTAGAGCGTCCATGATATTTTAGATAACTAGACAGTGTGCTATGTGTTCGGCTGCTAACTGCAAAATCAGTAGTTCGAAACCACCAGCCGCTTCCCAGGAAAAAAATGAGACTTTCAACTCCCATCAAGAGTTAGTCTCAGAAACCCACAAGGGGGCAGTTCTACCCTGTCCTACAGGGTCACTGTGAGTCGGCATCAACTCAATGGCAGCGAGTAAGATTTAAACATATCTGCGGTTGAGACCGATTTCATCTGTGCTTTGTGCAATTTGCACGTAGTTATGAGGGGATGTCAACGTCCACAGGAGGCTGCATTGCATTTCTACCAGGCAGCATTGACAGTACCGCTCCGAGCCTTTCCCTAGTCATGCCGCACCATAGAGGTGGGCCGCACTGCCATCCACTCACATGGTGACCAGTTTTCTAAAAGCACTCAGTGGCTAACAGGCAATAAGGCATATTTCTATTAGTTCCCCTTTAGTTTTGGAATGTTGTGGGCTTGTGTGTGTGTGTGTGTGTGTGTGCAAGGCTGGAGTTGTAAATCTCTTGCTTAGAGAGACTGTATGCATTTCTGAGTTGGCGGCTCATAGGGAATTGCACTTAAGTTTCTGACTCCAAGAACCAGTCTGGGCTGAAGCCAGGGTCCAGGCCCACATCCGCCAGCGTGGGTAGGATACTAGCCTGAAGGCACTGTGGATGCTAGAGGCGTTGACTCCAGAGGGAGGCCTCTCTCCCTAGCCTGCTCTGCTGTCTGACACGTTCAGCAACACCACCAACAACTCCGCCTGTCTAGTCTGTACACTCACTTTAACAATGCAATTTCCAGCTCCCACAAAGCTCTCTGACCAGCCCCTTGCAGAGAGAAGAATCTGAAATTCAGAAATGCTACACGACCTGCTCAAGTGCATGGAGTAAGCAAGTGGGTGAGCTGTGAGTCAAATCGGGGTCTGGCCCCAGAGCTGGAGCCTTTCAAACCTCAGGATGCCATGCTGAGCCTGCAGCCTATTCCCCAGCTGGGGCCCTAGGGAAGCATGCCCACGTACAATACAGATGAGAGAATTCTGGGAAGACTGGAGATTCCAAAGGATGGGGAGTCCCTTAGAAAGCATCTGGGGAAGGGGATGGAAGAGTTCTTGGCCTGTGCCCTCCTGGGGAACTTTAAAGAACACTGATGCCTGGACCCCACCCTGAGACTCCGGGGTCCTTAGTCAGGGTGTTTTTATAGCCGCCCACTTTTCCCTGTGCAGCCAGGGTGGAGGCCCAGTGCTCTGTGGCCAAGCTTGTGCTGCGCTGTCCAGATGCGAGCCCTGGCTGGGCCTCTGCTCCTGTGCACAGTGCGGTCTTTCCCTCACTGCACCCTGAGGAGGTTCATCCCTAAGGACTTTCCAAACCGAGGGCCCATGGTCTGCTCATGGCCAGAGCTCACACAGTAAGGGGCGGGGGATGGTCTGACTGCATCTACGTCATGCCCCGAAATGCTGTTTTCAGAAGCAGCCTTCTCCAACCTCAGCTTCTGTACGGTGGCATCTTGGGTAGATCTTGCTCCTGCTCTGAACTGCAGGGTCTGCATCAGTCCAAGGGCCAATGCCGCCTATCCCCAGGACGCTCTTATCAGGGTCCTGGGCAATCATGTCAGTTGAAGTTGCTTGACAACTCAGTCTGAGTGTTAGCTACTCCTGCTATTAGCACTCCAGTTATTCTGGAGTATTCAAGTGGGCCGGGCGTGACTTTGAGGAAGAAGGGAAACTGAGTGCATGGTGTGGTCCAAGCCATATCTTTGGGCTAGGAAGGAATCTCATGCTTGCTCTTGAGCAGGATTAGGAGGATACAGAATACAAATGTCTTTGCCCTGTTCACGAAGCACATGGAACCTCCTCCTGTCTCAGGTCTTCCAGCACCTGGTCCCCTTCATTTCCTTGGTTAGCCTAGCTCTTTCTACTCTTGAGACTTCATTGGGACCCACAGCATTAGGGAGGCTCCTCCCAAGCCCCAGTTAGCACTGGGCACCCTCGTAAGGTGGAGAGGGCAAGGGAGGGCAAAGTTGAGGATTCACTGGGGATGTCAAACGGGTTAGATGGGTGTAGCAGACAGGAGAATGATTTTGCCAAAAATGTCCATGTCCTAATCCCGGAATTATGTGACTGCTTCCTTACACAATAAAGGAGTCTTTGATGAAGTTAAGGATTTTGAGATGGAAAGCTGACCCTGCATTATCTGGGTGGGCTCAATGTAATCATAAGAGTCCTTGTAAGGGGGAGCAGGAGATCAATGGCAGAGAAGGAGATGTGATATCAGAAACAGAGGGGAGGAGAGAGAGAGGGGGGGGGGAGAAAGAGAGGAGGGAGGGAGGAAGGAGAGAGAGAGAAGAGGGAAAGAGAGAAGAGAGGTGAGAGAGAGGAAGAGAGGGAGGGGGAGAAAGAGATTGATTTTAAGTTGCTGCTTGCTGGCTTGGAAGTTGAGGGGGGAGATGAAGGAAGAGGCCATAAGCCAATGAATGAAAGCCACCTCTAGAAACTGGAAAGGCAAGAAACTAGAAGTTCCCTAGAACCTGACTTTTTGAATGTAGCCCACTTACAGCCCAGTTTGGGCTTCTGAACTCCAGAAGTGTAAGTGAGCACTGGTAAATCTAAGTTGCTTTGAGCCGCTGAGTGTAGGCAAAGATCTCCTCCCTGCTGGTCGGAGGGCTAGAAGGCTCACAGGACAGCTGCAGGGCTGTTCAGCCCATTGTGGAAGAAGAGACCTCTCCAAAGCCTGGGGCACCAGCGAGGAGATTGGGCTCTACTTCTGGTTTAGCCACAAATCAGGACAGCCCCTCCCTCTCCTGGGTCCTCAATCTCCTCCTCTAAGAAGGGGTTGGGAGTTAACCTCTGCAGCTCCCCTTCCAACCCTCACAATGCGAAGGCTTTGAGTCCAGGCCACACATCCCCAAACTTCTGCGGTTAGATAAGCTGCCATTTTCCCAAGAATTCCACAGGATATAGGAGACGGATGGGAAACCTGGCTCTGGAGTCAGATTAAACCAGCCATTGCATTTGACCTTGGCCACTTAACTAGCTGTGGGACTTGAACAAGTTCCTCAACTTCTCGGAGCCTTGGTTTCCCCATACGGAAAACCATGGATGCTTTTTAGCACATGTGTTTGGTGGAAGTGCAATGTTCTCAGCACTGTGCCTGGCACTTAGGTGGTGATTACAATTGGGTACCAGTTGGAAGGAGTCCCGGAGAGGTGCAAATGGCTAAGTGCTTGGCCAGGAGCCAAAAGGCTGGCTGTCCAACCCTGCTGGAAGGCCCTGGGGCTCTGCTCCTCAAAGGCCACCGCCTTGCAGATGCGGGGGGCAGCTCTACTCTGCACATGTGTGGACACACCATGGAGGGCAACAAACAACACGCCAGGCTCGAAGGGGATTTTGGTGCTGAGCTCGGCATGTGAGTGGCAGGCCTGGGAACTGTGCAGAGGTGGGCAGGGTGGAGTGAACGGCATGGGGTCCAAAAGCCAAGGCTCTGTTGGAAGCTGGGAGGGGCTCTGTTTCCAGTCCACGTGAGCTGCTGGCACCGGCTCCTAGAACTGGAACTGGGCCCTTGGGGGCAGGTGGCAGTGGTGTGTGCGCATGCATGGAGGTGTCTATCACTGGTTGAGCAGCTGGAATGGCTCGGTCATACTTACTCGAACGGGTCGCTGGGGTCGGTTTTCTGCAGCTCGGGAGGGATTGGGATCCGCTTGTAGTACATCTCCCAATCAAAGGCGCCCCGCATGGCATCCCCTGCTTGCGTCTCGTACCGGAAGTCGTCGTGGTCAATCACGTCAATCATGGGACACACGATGGTCTTGCGGTTCCGAGCAATGCGGTCTGAAAAAGCCGAGAGCTGGCCATCAGGTGGGGCAGGGTGGTGGAGCGCTACATGCACGGCCCGTTCTGCCTCTGACTCTACCATGTGTGCCCGCTAATTTCTCTGAATGGTCTAGGGTGAACGCCTGGGTGACCGAAGGCAGAGAAAGGTTTTCGGCAAGATGAGCTGGGGCTCCCACCCCAGGCTTGTCACCGACAATGAGGCTGTGGGGCAGCTACTTAAACAAGGTCTGCGGGCACCAATGGCCTCCTCTTTGGAATGAGGACACATGGAGGCGCTCTCTCAGGCTTGATGAGGATCAGCTATAACACTGTCTGCAAAGAGCTTAGCATACTGGGCTGTTAGAGGTCAGCCCCCTTATGCCAAATAGAGGCCCACTTCCTCCGGAAGGGCCCTGCAGGCTCCCACTCCAAGTCCTGAACTTGACGCCGGTCAGCCCAGCATGCTGGCCCCTTGGGTAGACTCACTGGTGCCCCAGGCTTCAGTCAGATGATTCGCCTTGTGAGAAGGTTCGGCTCAAGTTGCCACCAGTCAGAACTACGGGAAAGGGTAGGACACGCCCTGTCTCAGTGATTCATGGCTCCCACTGACTGGAGGGGTGCAGCTACCACCCTGCAGGAGAACTCCAGGCTGGTGAGTCAAGCCAGGGAAAGGGGGCCTGGATCTACATGTCTCGCCAGGGAGAGGCGGGGTCTATGAAATTCACTGTCTGCTCAGCCTGTTGATAACATTCAAACTTGAGCTTGAGCTTGCTCCCGTCATCAGGAAGTCCTGGCTGCAGCCAGTGGGAGCCAGTGAGCAGCCCAGAGCAGGCAATCTGCCTAAAAGGACAAGTGCACTGAGCGGTTTGGGTCCGGGGTCAAGTGCAGGAGTTGGCATGGGGAGTCTGTCTGAGCCACAGATATCTAGGGCCCAGCCTTTACTGAGCTCCTGCTCGTTTTCTTTCCAGGAGAGAAAGCAGCACTTTAGCCTTTTTCTAAGCTGCTGGACAAATCCATATTGGAAGTACCATGGAGTGCTAAAGGACAAACATCTGTCTCAGAAGGATGTTCCTTAGAGGCAAGGATGGCAGTCTTCATCTCACATCCTTTGGACAGGTTGTCAGAAGAGACCAGTCCCCGGAGAAGGACATCAAGCTTGGTCAAGGGGAAGGGCAGTGAAAAAGAGGAAGGCCCTCGACCAGACAGATTGACCAGGCGGCAACAATGCGCTCAGGCCTACGAACAATGGTGTGGGTGGTGCAGCACCAGTCTTATGTTGCATGCTGTCGTGCACAGGGTGGCTATGGGGGGGAACTGACTCGATAGCACCTGACAATAACAAGTCAAAATCCATAGGTGGGCTGTGCAGTCTGTGTGCATTCTGTAGCGAAACAAAAAATCCAAAACACCAAAACCAGCATCGAGAGTTTGAGGGTGCCTGCTGTGGGAAGGTGAAATGTTGTTTCAAGAAACTCTTTGAGCCACACTGCATGAGTGTGTGCATTTGTCTGTCAGACTGACACGCGCAGTGCATTTCTAGCTGTGGCACATGGCCAAGAAAGCTTCAGCAATGTGACCCATGGTGAGTATATCCCCAGATGTGGACAGGGGGCCATTCCAGAGCATCTGGGCTGTGTATAAAAAACGTCCAAATCCCTGGGTAGAGAGCTGGAGAGGAGCCTTCCTTCCCTACTGATTCATGGCCATTCCGAAGATTTCATTTCTGAGGAGGTCTGGGCTGATGACACAGGTCTCTGCTGGCTGCTGGGCAGCAAGGGTGGTGTGTTTGCTTGGGGACAAACTACTCAAGTGCAAACCAGGTTCTCTCAGCAGCTGGAGGCCTGACCTTGGATGAGGATCTCTGACACCTGAGCCCCCCTGTTGCCTTGCCAGTCGATTGGAGGTGAGACAGCACCTGTCTCACTGGGTCTCCGTGAGGACTGAAGGTGGCAGTGGGGGCAAGATGCCAGCCCAGCCTTTAGCATGTGATGGGCGTCCAGCCCAGAAGCAGGCGCCGGAAGGCTGCGCATCTCTTTCATTCTCATTGCTCCTCAGGTGTCTCATTTGCACAATGTGGATACTACTGCCCGCTTCCCCGTGTAAACATCGCATCCAAATGCGGAAGAGGGCGGCTAAGCTAAGAGACTATTAGAGTCATGGTGATGATCATGAGGATGAAGGAAATGGTGATCAACAGTGCCTTTCCTTGGGCAGCGGTGAGGAAGGGGGGCGGCGGGATCAAAAGAAGCAGCAGAGTGAGCCAAGCACGGAGGTATTAATGGTTTCAGAGACCAAAGTCATGAGGCTTTGCTTCCGCTGCTATTAGCAGGAACAGACTTTTAAATCTACTGGCTCATGTGTCTATTGGAAAAAGAATGAAAAGAAGAAAGAAAAAAAAAGGGAGGGGTGAGGGGGATGTTTCTTCCATGTGTGTCTGCAGATTATGAAAATTACCCTCATACATTTCCATAGAAACAGAGTTAAGGGCTATTTAGCCAACCAGCTCAGCTTCGTACCCCACCACTTCATTCTCATTATGAGCCACCGAATGACCCGACAAATGGGTTGTTCCCTCAGAACTATAAATTAGGGGCGCTATGGTGAGGCATTTCTTTCTCTTTCTTTTTCCCCTCTCTCTGGGTAATGAGAGGCAGATGCAGAAGATTGCTTGGTTTAATTAAATGCACAGTTTACCAGAAATTCTGGGCTGTAGCCTTTTCCTCACTCAGTGAGCTCCCAGACCCACGCAGGCAGCCGCTCATCTTCTGAAAGGAAGCTCTCTGCTGACCTGTGGCAGAGAGACAACCTGCTGGACCACCCCAGGGATCCATTCAGGCTTCGCTTCTGTTCTCTCCTGAATGGCGGCGTGCCCTTGTCTGTGCGACTCGGGTGTGGTTCCTGGGCGGCCATCACCTGAGCGCTTGGAGAAAGGCACATCGCTGGGTCCCCTGCAGCCCTCCTGAATCAGAAACTCGGGGAGTGGAGCCCGGCACGCTGCACTGTAAGGAGTCTCCCAGGCGATCTGCTTTGCTCCTCTTGCTCGTGAGGGCTCACTCATCCATTGTTGAGGGGCTAACTCTAATGACCTCTTCCCCAATCTGCTTGCAGCCCTGCCCCTTACCTGACTCCCAGGCTCAGGGGAACATTACCTGTGTCAGCTGGCCAGCACCAGATCACTGCCTTTATCCCAGCAGAACCCCCCAGCATGCAGGTCTGCTTCTTTAGCCAGCTGCAAGGCCACCTCTTTTGCTCACAGGCTATGGTGGGTAACTCCTGGGTCATTACACTTCCTTGTCTATAGCCCCCTCTCCTCCCACCCCCAGATATACCCTGAGAGGGAGTGCATTCAGCGAGGCAGTACAGAACTGAGGGACAGCACAGACCGGGGAGCCAGAAGACCTTTCTTTTCACACTGAGGTCCCACAGTTCACTTCTCTGAACCTCAATTTCTGCTACTATGAAAAAGGGATGCTTTTGACCAGGCATGTTTTTGAGAGGTTTTGGGGGTGATGCTTGTAGTCTACCTGGCTTATAGGAGTGGTGTAACCAATAGTAAGTATTCTAAGTTGATATGATGATGTCACCCCATAATTTGGCTTCTAATAGTAGAGGCCTTGACTTGTGTGCCAACACAATTGGAGGTACTCTCAGGGAAGCAATCATGTCATTGGACATGCTGTGTGTCTTCCTCTGCTGAGCCTGTTTCTGTCTTTGTCACTTGCTTGGGTGGCTTTAAAGACCCTTTATGGCCCCAACCAAAGACTCACTCATGGCATTTGGCACTGTGCTGGGTGCATCTCAGAGGGACATTGGGACCCTCGTGGTTGGCTCCCTGCAGGAGGCTGGGTGGCCTGGGCCCCGGCGGCTGGCTCATTCCAGGCCGCCTACCTCGCCTTGGGGAGGGCTTCCTCACCGAGCAAGGGCGGCAGCCAGTTGACATTGGCTTCACAGTGAGAGTCTAAGAACGTGATGACATCGCCAGTTGCCACAGAGGCCCCCAGCATCCGGGTCCTTATCAGACCTTCCCGTTTCTTGGTGCGGAGAATCCTCACGCTGGGGAAAAGGGCCATGTAATCTTCCAGCGGCTTCTTCAGGTGCTCTGCAGGGAAGACAGGAGGGAAGCGGTGGACGGATGGGCAAGAACAAAGCGCTCAGCAATCATTCTGGTGCTCCCATCCCCACCAACACGTGAACTGCACCCTACAGTTCGCACGGAGCTTTCTGGAAACTGCTCCACTGGGCAAGTCAGACTACAAATGGAGAAGCTTGAGTTTTGAAGAGATCAAGTGGCAGTGCTAAACCTAGATCACAGATCTCTACATATAGACATACTTATGTATGTAGCTGACATCATTCCTAATGGTGAATTCCTGAACGACTTAGTCCTTTGCTCAGGAGTAAGGTCAGGTTTACACTCTCACTTCTTCTTTTTTAAAAGGTTCAGTTTTCTATTACTAAATAAACTCTTATTGATGTATCTTTTTTTTAACAGATCATTTTATTGGGGGCTCTTACCGCTTTTATAACAAACCATACATCAATTGTATCAAGTATATTTGTACATATGTTGCCATCATTATTTTCTAAACATTTACTTTCTATTTTGTATCAGCCCTTGGTATCAGCTCCGCTTTTTTCTCTCCCTAAATGATTATTATTTTCATATCTTACACCAACTGCTGTTTCCCTTCCTCCACAATTTCTGTTGTTCATCCCCCTGGGGGGGTGCGGTTATGTATCAATCATTGTGCTCAGTTCCTCCTCCTTCCTCTACCCCACCTTCCTCCTTCACTACTTATATCTAACATTGTACTAGATTTTCTTACCAGTACAATAAGGTTAAAAAAAGGAGATAAAAAAGCATACAATTAGAAAGAATAAAGTAACACTGTCTTTAGTTGTAGATGACATGATATTTATATAGAAAATTATAAGACGTAAGAAATAAATGAAATAAATAAATATCATAGTTGTATAGGATATATATATCAATATCTAGCAATTATATTTCTTATGCCAGAAAACAATAAATTAGTTGGAAAATAAAAATTTAAATACCATTTTATAATTTTACCAAAAAGTACAAGGCTTATACTTTGAAAACTACAAAACATGAAAGACAGTGGAAACAAAAGGAATGACATCCCATGTTCATGGAATCAAACCGGAAAACCAAATTCACTGCCACTGAGTCAATGTGGACTCGCAGCAACCCTGTAGGACAGGGTAGAACTGCCCCCCATGAGTTCCTGAGACTAAACTCTTTACAGAAGGAGAAAGGCCTGTCCTCCTGTGGAGCTTGCTCGTGGTTTCGAACTGCTGACCTTGAGGCTAAGAGCCTAAGGAGTAACCTCTACACCATGGAACCTCACTGTAATTCTGACCCATAGCAACCTTATAGGACAGAGTAGAACTGCTCCTGTGGGTTTCTGAGACTGTAACTCTTTATGGGAGTAGAAAGCCCCCCCCCCCCACCCCCCACCCCCCCGCCCCCAGTGGCTGGTGATTTTGAACTTCAGACCTTGTAGCCAGCAGCCCAAGACATAACCACTGAATCACCAGGGCTCCTTGGGAAGCCAGGGAAGGGTCCCTGGGCATCATCCCTGGTGATTGTGATTCAGTAGCTCTGGGTAACATCTGCTAGACCCACTGAAGACTATGCCGCACAGCTAGACCTTGAGATCACTGGGCTGCATCAACGTCTCCATGAAACAGATAGGGTGCTGGTGCGCAGGGAAGGGAAGGGACCTACCTCTGCCCAGGGCAAGACTGTGCTTCGAGCAAGGATCTCCTGGTTCCCTGGGCCAGAATCCACTTGGCATTTTATATTTTAAGTCTCACTTAAAACTCTAAAATACCCAATCATAATGATCTATGTATATAACCCCCTCCCAGGGGGATGGACAACAGAAAAGAGGGTGAAGGGAGACATCGGTCAGTGTAAAACATGAAAAAATAAGTATTTATAAATTGTCAAGGGTTCCTGGGGGAGGGAGGGGAAAAATGAGTTGCAGATACCAAGGGCTAAAGTAGAAAGAAAATGTTTTGAAAATGATAATGGTAACATATGTAAAAATCCGCTGGACACATGGATGTACATATGGATTGTGTTGAGCTGTATGAGCCCCGAGTAAAATGATTTTAAAAAGTACTCTATAACATGCACCGGCAAAACATATTAAGATTTTAAGATGGCGTCATACATTTTCTCTCCTTTGATTCCTAAAATCATATGTTGCGTGATGGTTCTTTCCATTTTACAGATGAGAAGACTGATGCTCAGGGAAGCTACGCGGTTTGCTTGCGGTTGTACAGGCAGAACACGGCTGGGTTATCTGAAGAGCATGATGCTCTTCCCATTCTAGTGTCCCCGCCCTCGGACGTGCACAAACCACATCCCACCTGTTGCCCTTGAAACCCACCCAGAGCCACCCTGTGGGACAGAGTAGAACTAACTGTCTCAAAGAGTTTCCAAGGCTGTGACCTGTGGGGATTTACAGAGAATACACAGAGAAACAAGCGCAGCGAGAAGACTAGGAAACATCCCATCACCTCCTAGTTTGTGTGTCTCTTTCATGCAGTTACAGGTGGGGTCCAGCCCCTGACCCCTTTCAAAGCAAGCAGCTGAGTGCTTAAGCGTGGTGCCACCAGAGCCCTTTAACTAGGCATTATGGTCACAGCGTTTGCCACGCCTCCCTGCTTTTCCATAGCCCATTTAGTTGTTTTTTTAAATGGTTCAGTAAAATAAATAATTAAATTGAATTATATTTATTTATTTTTTTTTCTTTTCTTTTTTTATATTTATTTTTTAAAAGAGACTTTTAACATAAATGGAAAGGGGCTACCATTTATAATATAGAGCTGCTAACATTTAAAAAAGGTCTTGTAATATAAATGCTACTACAATTTGATAAGGGTAAGACTTGGTAAGTGAAGGTGCGAAAGAAGGCACGGCAGAGAACGAAAGTGACTGGAAAAGTAGAATAAAACAAAGCAGTGTCTTAGCTTTTCCCCAGACATGCTTCTCTCCTGTGGCTGTGAGTTTGAAGTCTATCCTGTCACGAGGGGAGACATGGGCAACCAACTGAGACTTTGCATTTGAAGTCATCAGAAGAAATGAAAAAGAACTGAAAAGAGAAAGCGCTCTTGCCACATGATCCAATGTTGTTACTGAATGCAGAGTCTGGAAGCCAACTAATCATCTTAGGCACCACTGAAAATCAGCTTTCTGAACACGCACAATTAGGCAAGCATTGCTCTAGACCCTTTGATTTAAGTGTCTCTAGAAAGTTGTGCGAGATGAAGTGGGTTGTGTGTTGTGCTGCTGGGCTACTGGTAGGTTGGAGCACTTAAAATAAGCACAGAGGGGAAAAAATTACACACAGAGAAGCACAGGGCCGCTAGAAGACTAAGAAGCACCGGCCTCCTCCTTGCTCGCGGGAGAAGACGGATACGGCTCCCCCCACCCTTGCCCACTCCCTTTTGGAGCAGTGACTCTGTAGAAAGCAGAAATCAATTTACCCTAATTGAGGGGCTAAATCTTTCCAGATTGGACTTTCTTGGGCACGGAGACAAGATAGAGTGAGGCCTGATGACGCTCCAGAAATGCAGGAGCACTGTCTTAAAGAGGGAGAATAAAAATCCACAGGCATCAGCTGCGACCGCCTCTGCTTCCTCGCTGGGTCAACTGGTAGGTCGTTAAAAGGAGAGTGGGATAATCACCCACAGCACACAGCAGGACTCCCATCAGAGGGAGAAATATTACCCCGTCTGCTTCTAATCACTGAGGGGCCTGCTCGGGCAGAGCCCTATCGCTGAATCACCCTGGACACAGATGACGCAGTCATTACAGACCAACCCCTTATGGCCTTTTGACGGCTTGGGGGAAAGTTGGAGCCATTACACTCCTTGTTATTCGAAAGTGCATGACACCGTTCCACGAAATCAGAGAAGTTTAGAGTTGGAAGGGGCCTTACATGAAGAGGGTGTCTGTGATGATGATAATTAGAGGAAACAATTACTGAGCCCCTGCCAGCACACAGAGCTCCTCAGTTCATAGATATTACCTCGGAAGGCTACAACAGTGCTGTAACATGTGGACTGTGGCTTTATCTCCTAGATTCTAGGGCTTAGAAGAAGATACCGAGGCTCAGAGAGGTTGATGCAACTGGCCCAAGGAACACTGTTCATAAGTGATGCAGCCGAGGTCTAAAACTCAACTCTGAATGTGCAGGCTCAGCCCACTGAGTCACCTCAATGTTGGGCATACAGCACCCTCTCAGGGGACCTTGCTGACTAATTCACTGGAATCCCCCAGAACCACTGAAACAGGGTGTGGCAGGCCCATTGCTCCTGGTACTGCTGCAGAAGAAGCGAGGCCCAGGGCAGACTGGAGGCCTTGCCCCAAGTCTCCTCTTAGCTGATGAGGCCAGAGTGCTTCTCAGGGATGGGGACGGACGGGGACACGGACACACACACACACACACACACACACACACACACACACACACACACACGGCGTCTGCAGGGGAATCCCAGAATGGTTCGTCCTGGCAGGCTGTAGCACAGAAGTTGCACTCAGAGATGCTGTGAGATTCCTGCATGCACTGACCATGTGACAAAGACACAGCAGGGTTATGGCCTCAGTCCAGGCCACTGCTGTCCTTTGTCTAGACCATCACAGTGGTCAAGATGGCTCTCTGCGCTCCCACCTGTCTTGATTCAGTCGTGTGTGTTTGTGTGTGTGTGAGTTTAGTGTCTCTAAAAAGAGAATTAGACTGTTCCCCTTCCACTTCCCCACTGAAAGCACTTCAATGGCCTCCCATGGCTTCTCAGAGCAAGGTCCAGATTTCCTACGCAGGATGACAAGGGTGTGTGTAGTTGGTCACTCACCCCTCTCCAGAATTCATCTTGTCCCCCTGGCCCCTCCACTTTCTTCTGGATGTCCTGTCTGGGCAAGCCGCCCTGCTCCCACTTCTCAACAGCTCCCGCTCAGCCACCAGACTTTCGCTAAAAGTGTGAACTCCTTACCACGGCCTGTCTTGACCTCCCAGACCAGAGCAGCCCCTCCAAACAGGCCCTGGAACGTGTCCTGCACAGCACACAGCTCCGATGCACCGCATGTCTGTGCAACTGCTCGCTCGGTCTCCCCCACTAAAGGCTCCGCCCCACCAGGGCCCATTCTCTGAACACTCTTCCCACCTCCATACCCGCTCGCCTCGCTCGCTCGGAGCCACAGCCTCCACAGATCCCTGATGAACACACAGCGCCACCCTCCTGGGCCATCGTTTATCAAGCTCATTTCAAGATGAAGGAAGCCAAGGTCTGAAAAAGTTGTTTCTTGGCCAAGGTCACACAGCCAGGAGGCCTGGTTTGGCCAGCAGTCTTTGCTCTCCCGCTGGGTGTAATCAAATTAATCCTCAAGTAGACAATCAGAGTTTCAGTCTGTGATGCCACGAAGCCCTGCAGGCCCCTGCTGATAAGTAGCACAGTCAAGGACCGCCGTTTGCTCTAGCTCTGGCCAAACCCACAGGAGGCGGAGGAAGGGCAGCCCCCATGGGGGGGTGGGGGGGGGATACAGAGCCAGTCATAAACTCGATAAATCTGAGCACCTGTCCCCAGAGCCGTGGCTGGTTCTCTGGCCTTGGGGGCATCATTAATAAGGCAGAGGCCACAGCGGGGAGGCTGCCCTCTGCACATTTGGGCTGGCTTCTGGGAGCTGTACATATTCTGTGTCTCATCATGTCTCAACTCCCCTGGGCTTCTGGCTATTAAAGTGTGACGGCTCATATGTTTCCTGGGAGAGATTTATTTACTTGCACGTCTGAGACAGTGTATTCTAAGGCACTGCCAACCCATCTGGCGCCCAGAGCACCTCTAGCTCTCCTGTTTGCTTCTCAGGTATTCCCAGCAAAGGAGAATGCTTCTGAGGAGATGGCTCCTCCCCTCTCGTGATTGACTGTCACTGTGATTTCTCTTTTCCTTTTTAAAAAGTTTTTTTTATTCGCATATAATCCACATATCATACAACTTAATAGTTGTACAATCACCACTACAATCAAGTTTTTTGTACTCACTGGTATGAGCTCCCCATCCCCCACCTCCTGTGTTATATGCCCAAGAAACCATTCACCCAGTTACTGTCTCTAGAAGTTTACCCAGCCTGGATTTCATGTACAGGAAAGCATACAGAAAACCTCCCCTCAAAAACAAAACAATAATGAAATAAAATAGAGGAAAAACCTCAGTTGAAAAGAAAATATTAAAAAACTAGAACATTTTTTTAAATGGGTCAAAAGGGAGATCAAATGATCAGGTGTTAATTTTAACTTAACTATGTCTGCCATAACCCACTTTCCAATGCTCGCGGCATGAAGGCACGGTGATCTCCATCGCTGGTCTGAGGTCACCGGGGAGTCACTGCAGCCGTAATCCAGTCATCGTGATTTCTGCTCAGCGTTTACTGTGTGCCTAGGCCCTTCGGGAGTGTTCTTATAAAGCTCCTCTCATTCCGCTTCGACAACTTTACAAACACCGCCTTCTTAGAGAAAGGGGTATGGGGGCGCAGAAAGTTCCAGTCTAGGGTGCTACTTTCAGACAGCTTCCAGCTAAGAGTCAAGAGGCATGGCAGGGGTTCCTGATTTTAAAGCTAGCACCATTATCCTCAAATGCCACCAATTCGTTTTTTTTTTTTTTTAAACATTTTATTAGGGGCTCATACAACTGTTATCCCAATCCATACACACATCAATTGTGTAAAGCGTATTTGTACATCATTTCTCAAAACATTTTCTCTCCATTTAAACCCCCGACATTAGGTCCTCATTTTTCCCCTCCCTCCCCGCTCCCCCCTCCCTCATGAGCCCTTGATAGTTTATAAATGTGCCACCAATTCTTGATGCCCTCTTCTCTCTACTCTGCTGTGTGGGCACTGGTTTCCAACCCCACACCACCAGCTCTGCTGCTCGGATCTGTAGGGCTTCTGCTGCTGGGAGAACCTAGTCATGGAACATGAACACGGGGAAACACGAATGGGAGGATGGACAGGAGAGACACCTTTTGTACCAGGAAGAGTTTTGGGAGGCGGCATTGAAACATCACCTCCTCTCTGGAGCAGGGGCATAGACCAGCCCCTCCGTACACACATACTTTTCCTGGTCTTGTGCCCCAGGAGGGATTTCAGGGCTGGGATGCGCTGGCAGGACCCTCAGAGACCACCCCCAGGGCTTTCCAAACTCTCCTCTGACTTGGTTCCTCTCCTAAGACAATTTAAAGCATAACAGGCATGTTTTCCATGTGGTCTTGTAGGGGCAGAACCTTCAGCCAGCCATTTCTTTTTGCCCCCTTCTTCTCCTTCTTTTAAAAAGCAACTTTATCAACAGGTGACTCGTGTGCTACATGGCTCAGCCATTTAAAGAGTATGATCCAGTGCCAACTAGCTGTGTTTTGCAGGGCTGAGAGCAGTGAACTTCACTCCTTCGCGAAGAAGACCTTTTCTGGCGAGGAGAATTCTGTCCATCTAATCAAGATGGCATTTACTGAGCTCCTCTCCTGTTAGGTGCCCGGAACTATGCTGGGCCCATTCCTTTCTGCTGATAGAACATAGTGCTTCTCAAAATGTGGTCCCTGAGCTGGCAGTATCAGCAGCATCAGCAGCATCAGGGATCTTATTAGAAATGTGGCTCTCAGGCCTCACCCTGAGACTGAGTGAGTCCAAAATTCCGGGCTGGGTCCATTTACCTGCGTTACCACAAGTCTTCTAGGTGATTCTGGTACTCTTTGAAGTGATAGAATCAGCGAAATAAACCTAGGCTATCCTGATCATGCCAGGGTCTTTAAGCAATTAGAAACAGACTCCAGTGTTTCCTACTAAATAATAGGAGACACTGGAGGTCTTCAAGGAACCCACGTCTGTTCACTGACCCTGGCAAACCTAGGAGAATGGATGATGGTTCATAGTGGTCCCCTCCCCACCCTTCTTGTCACGTTCACGTGGGAAAAGCTCTGACACCTGGGGAAAGCGTCCCTCACACTGAGGTCCTGAAGGATCCCTTGGGAAATGGTTTTTAGGGCAGATAACAGTGATTCTGCTTCCACACACCTGGGGGAAGCCTCTAGTGGAGGCGAGGGGACCGTGGAAGGCTGGGAGTTGTGCGGAAGGATAACACCTGGTGTTGTGGAAACCCAGCCACTGCAGGGTCAATTCCCGTGTGCAGGAAACTATTGCTACACAGGCTTTCAGGCGCTGATTGCTCAGAAGTGGACCACCAGGTCTTTCTTCGGAGGTGACTCGGGCTGGATCCCCACCCTTTAGGGTAGCAGCCAGGCCTATGAACCATTTGCACCCCCAGGGGCTCCCCAGGGGTGAGGCCTAGTGGGAAGTACACATGGCTTGCTGAGGAGAATGCCCTGTCAAGCCTCTCCTCGGCCTCTTCCAGGAAGTGCTCAATCAAGTCTGAATTGCTCCCGGGCCTTTCATGTACATGGAAGAGCGGAGAGAGCCGCCTGGGAGCTAACGAGTCCCTGAAGCAGAAGCCAGAGGATGAAGGTGCAGGTGACTGACACTTTCTGGGCACCTGACACCCTTGCAGGTGCTTTCCAGGTGCCAGTCCACGGGAGTCTTCACCACCGCGGGTCTAGGAGGGTTAGCCTGGCTTTACAAATGGGGGCCCCAAGACTCACAAAGAGACAGTCACGGTTCAAAGTCACAGAGCGAGCGGGAGCTCTGCTCCCCTGAGTCTAAACCCAAACCTGTCCCTTCTAAGCACAGTGCTGACAGCAAGGCAAGTCTGTCTCTAATGCTCAGCCCTTGCAATCAGTGGGCACGTGCGCGCGGTCGATGGCTTGGATTGTAAAACACTTCTCTGGTATTTTTCAAAGACCGAAAATGAATTTGACCTCCAAACTGTACACCTTCCCCAAACATTTGCTTTGAAGTCACAAGCCCCTCCGTTCTCTGGCACCATGCTACAAATCAGGCTCATCGGGCCACACACAGGCACTTGGCCTGGACATGCCTTCAGTGATTTTTAGAATGAATTACACTCCTTCCTCAAGCCATCCTGTCCACCCGCCAGCTCCCAGAAATAGAAAGCACTTCATCACGCAAATTAACTCCTCTCCCCTATTTTGGAGAAGTCGAGCAATCTATTAAAAAAAGAGATGCTATTATCTAAACAGGCAGCCTTGTCTGCGCTTTTAATTCCATCTAAATGTCGTGGTCCCTTTTCAGTGGGTGGGCAAGGCCATAAATCTGTTTAATAATCAGACGACAAATAAAAATACTTCAGAAACCACCACTCTCAAGTTAATTACAAAACTCCCACCTCCTGCCCCCGTTTCCTGAGCGTGACTCCCCACCAATTGCTACAAATGAGGAGAGAAGCCTGGGTCCCTGGGACTTGGCCCTCGACACTTTCCTCCCGGCTGGAGCCCATCCCAGGGAGCAGACTTATGGGCAACACCAGGTGCAGGTTCCTGGGGGCTGCTCTTCAATAATGTCGGGTTGTCGGGTGGCAGAGAGCAGCAACACGTGTTTCAGCCAGGACGTAAGCTTCCAAGCCGGCCATTTAAGGAGTTATGAAAAAAGAAGTTAAAAAAAAAAAAATCTTCCCCTTTCAGCAACAGTGCCGGCTTGTCGGTTTCATATTTGTTAAAGGGCAAAAGTGCTCTCCTGGGGGAAATTTTCCTGCTCAGTGCATACGAAGCAAGAAGCCGAACATATGTCGGAGCTTTCTTTACCACCCTTCCAACCACCACTTCCACCCTCCTCCTCCCCGCAGAGAACCCCAACCTAGCTCAGCACAGAATCCTGGGAAACCTCTGTTTGGGGGCTTCTGAAGTGGGGGGTCTTGCAGATTTCCCAATGGGGTCTCCCCTTTATGTGCAGAGCTAGAACTGTGCTGGTATTCGTTGTGTACTGAAACCTCCAGACCAGGAATAAGTCTGTACATTGGCCTCCTGGGTCTCTAACCCCCGAGCTCTTATGCATCCACACTGCTGTCCAAACGTAGGTCTTCAGTCAGGTATCTCATCAAAGGCTAGCGTCAACCTCCCACACCCAACGCCCTCTCACCTTGCTCCCGATCCACTTCCTGCAGACACCTTGCCGCTGTTCCTTTGGTTTTCCTGTCCCAGGGAATTCTATTCTTCCTCCAGGGTCAGCTCAAAGTGCCCCTGAAC